CGACGGAAAGACGGCAGTGAAGCTCGCAAATCCCAAGACCGCTGAATACCAGATCGTCCGAACATCGCTATTACCCGGTTTGCTGAAGACTATCAACTCAAACAAGCACCACTCAGTTCCCATGAAGATTTTCGAGGTCAGCGATATTGGGCTTGTTGACTTGGAGCAGGAGAGAAAGAGCAAGAACGAGCGACACTTTGCGGCGGCCTACATGGGCAAGACTAGCGGATTTGAGCAAGTACATGGTCTGCTGGACAGGCTAATGCTCATGCTTCGATCTGCTTTTCTGACACGGGAGGATGGATTGAAGAATGAGCAGCTCCAGGGTTACTGGATAGAAGAGGTCGATGGTAAGTGCCAGATGTGGGGGAGTTGATTTTCTTTTTGAATGTGCGCTGATATGATGTAGATGCTACTTTCCTTCCCGGACACGCAGCGGCTATCAAGGTGAACCTCGGTGGCAAGAACCACACCGTTGGTGTCTTTGGTATCTTGCACCCGAGTGTACTGCAAAAGTTTGAGCTTCCGTAAGTTTTTTTTTGATGATTACATTCTCAAAGTGATATGCTGATCATGACTACAGATACCCTGTCAGCACGCTAGAGTTCAACCTTGAGGTGTTCTTGTAGAGCATGGCGTAAGTGTTCTTAGCATTAGATGTCCTGAGGGTTATATACCAATCGAACCGAATGGACCAATTACCTCTGAATCATCTTGGATACTGTGTTGGCTCAATGCAATGTTGATGATCCAGTTGTGAATTACTATTCCTTGTCTTTTCGCCAGGCCCAGTCTGATGGAAGTGCCGATTGCATGCTTGCATCGAGTGATGATTCATGAATATATTTTCTCTCATGTGTGCCTTGCCTACTCGCTCGCTGCAATCCATCTTAGCAACGCATTGTTGGGGCGAAATGACTGAAATTATTTGCATCCAAGTATTAATGTGATTGAGGTTCATCTGAGTATGCGATTAATAAGGGCTTGAGGAGTTCGTGGGTGTTACAAAGCAATACTAGTGTAGGTATAGAACACAAAAGCGAGGTATCTCACGTTTGCAGTAGTATTAATAAACTATTTTCTTCAGGATTCGAGAGAGCAGCGTCTCGCTAACGTAAAATGCTCACCCGAATCCTTTTCCTATGACTGCTGTCATTCTTTTCTGAGATAGTAATTGATCTGATACGCTATCGGATGAAACCAAAAAAAAGTCAAGTCATTTCCACGTTTGATGTATCCTACCAAAAGCATTCTTGATAGCTTGACGCGATGTCAGTCACACCATGATAACATATACCCCAGTATGCCTTTTCTTTCTTTTTTCTTTGTTCCCCAAACGTCCTCGCCCATTGAAGCAGCATGTCCATGTTCTAAGCCTTCTGCCTTCTACTCTCAACAAAATCCACAAATTCAAAGAAACTCTTCTTGTACCTCCGTACCTGGGTGGTACGATTAACTGTCTGGATCCCAAACTGCTGATTATAGCTGCCGAACTCCCAGTTGTCAAGAAATGACCAAGCAAACGCGCCTATAAACTCTACTCCATCCTCCCAAATCGCTTTGAGACCCTCGTTGAGATAGGTCTGGTAGTACTGGGAACGGGGGCTGTCGAATTCTTGGTCTGCTTGGGTTTTCTGGGACTCGGCGAAGACGGGAAAGCCAAACTCGGTTACGGCGACGGGGTGGCGCCAGGTGTTGTAGAGGTAGGAGAGATAGGTGCGGAAGTAGGATGGGGTGATGTAGACGTAGGATTGGCTGCGGTAGCCAAAGTTCCAGCCGGTGGTGGTAGTTTGGCTTTGTGTGACACAGTAGGGGCGCAAGGGGTGTGTGATGTTTGCGGCGCAGTCGGCAATGGTGTCGTTGGGTGGGGGGCTGACGACGGTGGCGGTGTAGGGCTGGATGGAGAAGAAGTCTGAGGTGCCGTTTATGTAGTCGAGGTCGGATTTGCTGAGAGGCACGTAGTCTGCTATGCTCATTTTGAAGGCTTCCGGGTAGTCTTTTCCGAGGAAGATGGGGTTGGCGAAGGTAGCGAGTTGGAACTCGTTGAAGTGGTTAGCGGCGTCGACGTCGGCGGGGTTGTTTGGATCGCGGGGGACGCCAAAGTTGTCGCTCAGGGTAAACGAGAATTTGCCTTTGCCGCCGATTTCTTCTTTGTAAAAGTGGTAGAGTCTTGCGTGCGACTTGATAACAGAGTCAACAGACTTTCCGTTTCTGGAGCCGAGGAGCGGCTCGTTGTATGACCACCAGATAGGGACGCGGTCGGCAAAATGCGTCATGAGGATTTTGCCATAGTTGACAAAGGCATCTTCCCACGTCACGTTCTTGTAGCTACACTGGAAGCAACTGTCCAGGGAGCCAATGCCGCCAGTACCTGGCTTGATGAGTACACTGCTGATGTTGGGGAAGAATTGGAACGGGCTGTCGTTGTGGTAGATGACAATAGCCGGTAACATGCCCTTTTCCAGAACGAAGTCGATTAGTTCGTCATAATGCGCAAGGCCTGGTTCATTGACCGGTGTACCCGGGAGTATAAAAGGGAGGATACGTGTCCAGGGAATGGAGAAGCGGTAGTACTTTACGCCCATGGATGCTATGCGCTCAATGTCTTGCTTGTAGAGATAGTAGTTTTCATCGGCTACCCAGTTTGGCGATTCGCCTGGGTTGTTAAGACTGGCAACATCGTTGTGGGCTGGTGTTCGACCCTCGTCAGCGACAGCACCCTCAATCTGGACTGCCGATGCGGCAACACCGAGCATAAAGTCGGCCGGGAAATAGTAACAGCTCTGGGGAACCAGAGGCTCGGGCGGAGGTAGGACAAGCTCACTAGTCGGTACTGGAGTTGGTGACACAGTAGTAGAGTAGATGCCTCGTGTAAAATTTACCCAGGGAACGGTTGCCCAGAGAGCAGACCAGGAAGCGTTTCCGTATGGGCTGGCAGTGTCTGTTGCAGTAGCGTTGGATCCGGGATACCAATTTCCCCATTGTGTTGTTGCGAGATCGGGCACAAGGCTACTGAGAGACTGATAGGGTGGTGCATAAGTGGTCGTAGCTGTTAGTGGGGGAACTGAGGTTGCTGTACGAACAGTTTCAGTCTGCGTGAAACTGAAGTCCCGGAAGCTGTATACAGGAAGCGCAGTTGTGTAGCTGTTATTTGCCCCACAATGTGGTCGCGAGACTGGTCCTTGGGCAGGGATGTAGACTTGCTGGGCAAGAGCCACAGCTCCGAAGACCAAAAGATTCTGAGGTCTCATAGTGCCTATGTACAAAATCGTTACCCACGTTGGCAGTATACATCGTGGTTATTATACATGTCACCGGCAGATGTGAGGACCTGGGGCTAGGCTGCGGGGATGTGCTTAGCGAGTCTGTTTGACGTCGTCATTGTACGAGTCTAGTGACCAGCCACGATGTAACAGTACATGGGAAATGTACAGGGAAGCCAGCAGTTCTAGCCGTATCTGCCTACTTTTTTGCAGTCTGGGGAAAGGCAACCTTCGGACGAGGGAAGTCGGGGTAATTGTCGGGGTGTGGAGGGTGGGGAATGGTGTGGGGTAAATCCTTGCTTAGGACGACGATTTTGACCTCAAAGTAACGATTTTCCGATCCTCGCTACAATATCAACCCGTTCTCATATTGCGCGTTCCGTGTATCGGAGTTTACACCGGTGGTTGCAAGTTGCTGGTACGTTTTTCTACTGCAAGTTACCCCGAGGTTACTTGGAAACCCGGCAATCTTTCCATGCCTAGTATGATTAAGCATTCCAACTATATTCGCGGTTCATGTGGTCATGTTTAACCGCGCGGTAATACTCGAGGATATGACCGATGAAGCTTAGGTGAGCAATGACGTACGAGTATCGTCTTTGCAAAGCGTGTCGTTATGTTCTTTTGCCGTAGCGATGCGATGCAATCCATAGCCCATATGAATTGGATAGATACCCCTGAATGATGAGCTTCCCAAGTGTTACGAATAGGAGTGTTGCGACGAAATGATTGATAAAAAGGTGAGGGATTCGAAGAGGAAAATGTTGTGCACCGAGGATCGAGTGCGGTGCAGTGCAACCGCCATATACGGCCGTCTAGATACAGCTGTAGCCTAGTTCAACAAAAACAAGGCTTACGCGGGCCTTGTAAGATTGGCACATCTGAATATGAAGCGTTGTAGCACAATGTCTCAATGACTTGTGGAAAGTAGGCGTGCGCGAGGGTTGATGTGCAGGTGCCAAGACGCCTACTTGATTGGGCTAGCGTGGTGGATGACAAAGACGCGGCAAAAAGAATTGCGAACAGCGACCCTTTTGTTGGCCAAAGCAAACGCACCGGAGCGCCCGTCCGAGAGTGGGGAGACGATGGTGAATGCTGCAGGCAAGCGGGGTGTTGGGACGATGGAGTCAACGTGCGCGCGCTAGCATCGAGCGTATGCCGAGGCCGAGCATGAAGTTCAAAGTGGGCGTCAAGTCGGCCAAGCGGGAGAGCATAACTGATGACCGCGGTGCCCATAACGTGGAGCCTGGGTATATCGATTATCGATTATCGATTTGACTATGGCGACACAGACAGGCAAGGCTGGCTAAGTAGCTAGCTCGGGATGCGCCGCCTTGACGATCTGACGCCACATTTACTATAAATGTACATGTCAATGCCTCCGGGTCGGGGCACAAAGCAGAAAGGTGTTGGCGCCGTGGTAGGAGATGGTTTGGTCTCACTCGTCATATTTGGCTTTTGGGATAAACCTTGCGGGGGGAAAAGGACAGGAGTGGGAAGCAAAGTTCCGGCCTAGCCAGGGGAGATGGGAGAGTATGACGATTTTTTTTCAGTTACACCGCCAATGGAGTGGATGCGGCTAGTCAGCGTGCGGAGCTAGGGATGCATGCCAGTCAGTACTTGGACATGTGTGTGTACATGCGCAGCGGCAGCAAGGCGATATCGAGAAAGACGAGTGGATAGGGAGAGGGGGAGTTGAGTCGGGGTTGTCGGGAGGTGGAGACGTATGTATGTGGTATGCAGGAGAAGGTCAAGACGCTGGTGCATGTTGCGGTTTGGTAAGTTGCGCGACGCGTCTCAGTGCTGCGACCAAGGGTGGGATTGCGGTGTGAGAAGGAAAAAAAGCGAGGCCGTGCACTGTTTACATGGCGGTTCACCGGTGCAGCGGAGGAACTAGCTCCGCCATCAGCGGGTGTCGTGGTTGATTGTGTTGCTGTGGTCGTGGTTGCTGCTGCTCTTGTTGTTGCAGTCGGAGCCCCAGCGGCCGGCACTGCTGCAGTCGCGGTGTGGCCAGGGCCCATGGTGGAGTGGATGCATGCGCATGTGCACATGTAAGCAAGTGCAGTGTCCGCAGTATGCCAGTAAGTATACAGTGCAGACAGGCCGAGGACGTTGGGCTAGGCGGAATGCAGGCACCCATCCATTCAGGGTCTGCCTAGCTGCGAGGCCCGTCGTTGCACTGGCCCAGGCTCCCCATGGCCGCTGCACACCCTTTCTCTCGCACGCCCACGCGACTCTGTTTGATTCCAGCCGGCTGCCGCGAGGTGGTGTCTGGACGAGAGCTGGATGCGACGAGGCGGTGCAGTGGGTGCAATACATGCGAGCATGCATGCACAAGGGCGGCGGGTAGTTGGTTGCTCGCAGCCTACTGTGTACCTGCCCCAGATTCAATAGCGGCGGTCCCGGCGGCAGGTACCACCGCCTAGCCGGCCTCTCCGCCCATGGCAGCCGCCCACGGCATCGCGACGCTCCTCTTCGCACACTGCTCCGACGTCCCCAGCTCCACCACATCGCCCATCCACAGCTCCCAGTCTCGCCCGCGCATGTGACCGTCTTCGCATCAAACAACTCGGCCTCGTCCGTCCTGCGCTCGTGTCAACGCAGTCAATTCCCGGCGGCTGAAACGCCCAAAGGTGCATTGTGCGTCGGGCGGTTGGCACACGGCCCAGAAGGACACGAGCACTGCACTACCCCCTGCGCTTCTTAGTTTCGCCGCCGCCGCGTGCCAAAGGCTTCGCGAGACTACCAGGACTATGTATACGCGCAGACCGCCGCCATGACTGCCCCAAACCTCCCCTCGCCCAAGCCTGATGCCAACCGCCATCCTCACGACGGCCCTGTAGCTCTCCCTCTCTGCTCTCTCCCTGCTGCTGCCACCGACACCGCCACCACGACCGCTACTGCAACCAGCCCGGCCGCCCCATCCCCAGCCCTCCAACCACGCCCTATACTCGACCACACGCCATCCACCATGGGAGAAAGCACCACCATGCCACGCCAGCTCGCAAACACGTCCGACTCCACCATGCCCTCGCGCCGCCCCTCGACTCCCCGCTCGCAAACGGACCCTCAGCCAGACACCATCGCTTCCCTCTCAACCCACCAACCGAGCACACTGTCCTATGCCCGCTCTCACCTCCGCTCGCGCAGCGGATCGGCCATACCCATGGCACGAGCCCACTCGCTACCGACTGTCATGCAACCTGCCTCCAACTTTGTGCTTTCCTCCACCCCACTACAGCTCGCCAGGCCCACGTCCCCTCTGCCCTCGCCAAACCGAACGCGCAGCCCCCGCACGCTCGACTCGCGCCCACTCACCACTCGTCCAGTCTCCATGGGCTCTTTTGATGGCGCCCCAAGCGTCTGCGACATCTCCGAAGACGCAGAGCTCGAGCTCAAGCCCAGAGTGGGCACCACCGTCTCCAACCTCTACAGCAACACCCCTTCGCTCTCCCGGCGACGACGTCCAGTCTCGCCCCTCTACCACGTCTCCATTCCCTTTGGCCACCCGCCTACCAGCAATCCTTTTGCTAGCACACCCACCTCGACTGCCTCTTCGCCTCTCTTTGCTCCGGCCAAGTTCAACGAAAACTATCCTGCCTCGCTTGCATCTTCGTCTGTCCCCTCTACCCCCACGTCTATGCGCTCCCGCAGTCCCTCCATCTCGTCTCTCGAAACCATCGAAGACAGTCCAGATGCCGAGGAAGAAGCAATCGAGGCTGACCGCATCGCAAAACTAAAGGCCGCTGCCGATCGCGAGGACGGCGGAGATGCAAGGAGGTCTAGCTTGGACGGCCCTGAAGGTCGTGGCCGTAGCAGCATGGGCTTTGGCAAGCGAGATTCTAGAAAGAGGTGGAGTGTCTGCGGAGCCGAACGACGAGGAGACCTGGACCTCGAGACCATTTGGGAGGACTAATCATGAAAGCAGCAGCATATCAACAAGGGTTGCCTGGCGTTACCGCAAGCATTATTGCATTTTCAAAGCACTCATTTGTCAGCGCGTGGAGTTTTGGTGTTTTGTTCTGCCGTGTTTTTTTGTTTTTTTATTGCCCATGTGGTAGCGGACAGATCCGCGTCTTTCTTGTTTGTTTTTTACATTACGATCGCCCAACGTCCCACGAGTCTCGTTTCATCGAATGGGATAGGGTTGCGAATTTGGTCTCACAGATATGTAGCATGACATGTTTCCACGATACGAGACAACTGTCAGCAGATGATACCCTCCTTGGTAGGAGCTCTGGTTTTACACATGAAGAAATCGAGAGTATTAGTCAACTCGACCCGTGTGAAGCACGCCTTAGTAATAGCAATATACTATGATAAATCACTGTTAGCAATTATGCATCTCCATATGTGCACAAGCACGGTTTTCTGCGAGCTAGTACTTCCGTTTTGGGAAACTACAACAGTCGGCCAATGACATCACACACGTCCAGCTACCTAGTGGGGTCACTCGGACGCGACTGCCCCTCAAACACCAACCCACCCAACAGAAAAGTCTGGCATGCTGACATATCACTGAAGCCGCCTATATATATTTTTTATCTCATCTGGACTCATTGTCACTCTGCCACATCTACGCTCACATCACAGCCGCCAAAATGATCAACCTCGGAATCATTGGAACAAACTGGATCACCCACTCCTTTGTCGAGGCCGCCCACGCAACTGGCAAATACAACCTCACAGCTGTCTATTCTCGAAAAGAAGAGACTGCAAAGGAGTTTGCATCCAAATATACCACCACCAACAACAACATCACCTGCTACACGGACCTCAATGCCCTTGCCAGCGGTGACAAGATCGACACCATCTACATTGCCAGCCCCAACATCCTGCACTACGAACAAGCCAAGCTGTTCCTTACCTCGGGAAAGAATGTCATCTTAGAGAAGCCCAGCTGCAGCACTGTTTCCGAACTCGACCATCTTTTTGCGCTTGCAAAAGAAAACAACGTCATCCTTGTCGAGGCGTTCCGCCACATTCAAGAAGCAAATTTCAAGCTACTGAAGCAAAAGATTGCCGATATAGGCCCGCTGTATGGCGCCTCAATCAACTTTGCCCAGTACAGCAGCCGGTACGAAAAGGTTCTGCAGGGTGAGGTTCCCAACATCTTCAACCTCGAGATGGGCGGTGGTGCATTAGTCGACCTTGGTGTATACTGCGTCGCAGCCGCCGTCGACCTCTTTGGTGCACCCCTTGACTCGCAGTATTGGCCTGTCAAAATTGCAACGGGGGCAGATGGCGCCGGCCGTCTGATCCTGACGTACCCCAATTTTACCGTCCATCTCTGCCACTCCAAAATTTACAACTCTGACGCGCCGTCTGAGATTTATGGAGAAAAGGGCACACTCATTGTACCGACCATCACCGATATCAACAAGGTTACCCTGTGGGATCCAAAGAAGAAGACAAGAGAGGATATCCCTGGTGTCAAGACACCCGAAAAGCTCAATCTGATTGAAGAAGCGAGGGAATTCGCAAGGTGTATCGAAGAAAAGGACCATGTGGAATTGAGCCGATTGGAGAAGCATTCAAGGGACACGCTAGCCATTATGCACAAGGTCAGGCATGACAATGGCCTTGTATTTACTGGTGGCAAGTAGCGAGCTCGCGTGACCAAAAAAAAAGGCTATGGCATCCCTGTGCCAAGTTGCGAACGCGAGATGGGTGGGGTGAAGATGGTGTAACGGGTACCTGTTCCTTAGGACCCCTTTTTTTGCACTACACTTTCCTTCTGTCACTATGTATGTATGTACATAAGCTTATCACTACAAGTGTGCTATTTGTTTGCCATGGCATCAGCATCATCTTTTTTTTTTGCAAATCCATAGTGAAGAAGTCATGAATATATTGTTTTTTTTGAGAATATTGATAATGGATTGAAACTAAGAAAACAAAAACGTTTAAACTATACCACTTCCCCTTCAAAATTCTCCAATCCATCGTACTTCTCCTCCTCCTCTTCCTTCTCAAGTAAAAGTATTCGGACTTGAAGAAAAAAAAAGTCCTAGATTAGAATGATAATAAAACACACACCCTTCCTAGTGGTTCCTCAAGAATCGAAGTTTTTTTAAAAAAAAATAAACCACAAAGTGCGTAGTTGTAGCATAGCAGCTACTGGTATATTCGCAGTAATTCCAAGCAAAAAAAAAATTATTCATCTCATCGTCTTTGCATGATCGCACATGCTGTTTGTGTTTGTTGTTCTTGTTGTTTGAGGAAAAAAAAAATTCCCGAAATCCCTCTCTCGTGTTTCCGTCTGGTTTGGCACTCGAGATTTGGGCCCCCACTCTTGTATTGATGAATGTGTATAAGTTGGATTGGCGGTGGGGTTTGTCTATTGAGTGGGGATTGGTGGGAGGGGTCGGGTTGGTGGGGGGCCTGGGCAGGGAGGGAGGACAGTCCATGGTCGGGGAGCCATTTTGGAAGGTGGGTTGTTGGTGGTTGGTGGTGGTATGATTGTTGTTGTTTGGTAGTTACTACGAAGAGTAGTAGGACTTTGTGATCTCAAGTGTAGATGAGATGCGATTGATTGTGGTTGTTGGTATTGGTGTTGTTGTTGTTGTTGAAGAGCAACGGAAGAGACTCTATTGCACAGTTGTACAAAAGAGTTGTGAGTGTGTTGATGTTTGTGTGGAAGGTTGATCGAGTCGAGTGTAGAGATGTAGGCTTTTGAAGTTGTTCTTGTAGTGGTAGTTGTAGTTGTGATGCTGTTCTAATTCCGCGGGAATTCACACTCCTATATAAAAAAAATTGATCGTCAGTCTGCAAAGGACCCTACCCCCCTTCACCCGCACCCACACCCCCCGGCCCCTGAAAATAATCTTTCGCGACAGAGGTACCGCACCACCTGCACGTAACTCAGGGTAATCCCTCCACCCAAACGAACACGCGTAAAAGGAAACACCCATACCCAGCGAAAAAGAAGAAAACACACGGCTTCTGGCAGCTGCAAGGTACACTAGGGAATCCAGGATCCACAGCAACCACCCCCGAGTGTGGTCTGCTAGCCGTATGATCGACGCCTAAGCCTCTTTCGCATGGTTCTCGTTCCTTTTTGCGCTGCCACTAGACAGGGGAGATGTGAGTGGAGCCAAGCACGTCAATGTCTCCACCTTTCCTCGCTAGCGCGGTCCCGATTGCTGCCAACAAAGGGAAAAAAGCAAAGCGTCTTGTCTCTCTCCCCAGGCTGGTAGGCTGTAGGCTGTAGGCTGTTGAGGGGGGGTGGGAGTGGGGGGGCGAAGGGGGGAACAGGCAGGCTGCTTCCGCTGCTCTCGCCAAAAAAGATAGGCGTTTCCTCTCTCCCAAGCGAGGCTAAATTGGGATTTCCTGGGCAGTCTGGATCCGGTATCTGGGGCAGTGGGGCGAGCAGCCAGCCTGATAGTGGCAATAATCGAGGGCGGATAGGTGACTTTGTTGAACGGTTGCAAGACGATGAAAGAAATGGTCTCTTACTCAGCGAGACCGTCTTCCTCCAGTGTGTCACAAAGACTGTAGGCCAAAGGTATGGTGAAGTCGTTGCAAGAGGTTTCCGCTGTAGTTTGTCATCAGCATCATCATCATCGCCTGAGCATCAGGCCATCCATCGTCATCGTGTGCATGGCAATGGTGCCTGAAGTTCCCTGCCATGAATATTTCTTTGCCCAACGTGCTGGCCACACCCACTCGCTACGCCCCAAACGTCCGCGCCTCACACCCCTTAGCCCCAGTGCCTCTCGTTTCCAACGAGTGTCATATCCCTCATGAAGCTAATGCATCGCATCGCCTCAGCTTACCATCGTTGCTGAGAAGCTGCATCTCTGCCACACCGACAGTCCCTGCGTGTCATGCCATGATGATTGCACCATCATGATGGCGAGTCCCAAGATCCCCTCATCGCTTAAGTCGCTTGTGTCGATCTCCCTCCACGGTAAGTATGCTAAGCGAGTACATTCCCGGTGCCGATCGATGATCCCGATGTACGTTCACGGTGTGCATAGTAGGTTAGCGAGAGTGCATTCAAGGAAGCAGGCAAGCATGCGCTAATTCAACAACCTTTTCGCGTAGGTGAAGTAGCCTTGCCTCAAGCGGCTGCAAACCACTCTAGCCGTTAGGCTGTGTGGGATTGAGGACAAGATACAGAGTGGATAGCGTGCATATGATAGCTCCCAAGCGTCTTGTACACAATCAGGGTGAAATGAACACGATGATACCCCTAGTATGTCCTCGAGTTGACAGTGTACCAAAGTCCCTCGACAGACGGAAGAGGCTAGCTCTGCGGTCCAACGGTTCTGTCACCAATAACCTGTCTTACCGCGGAGACTTGAAAGGGACCATCAACCGCGGATCTGGATTTCCTACGGCTGACGTGCCCATTGAACCTGGCCCATACTGCCAACCTCCACGTGCATAGGCCATGCGGGTGTCGCTTACCCCTACCCGTCTGGCTTTTGTTTCGAGGCACGATGGGTCATAGCTGTGGGGTACTTGTCGGGCTGTCCGAGGGCTGATCTTAACTTGGAACGAGCTGACAGGTGTGGGGTTGTGACAGCGCGGGCTTGCGATGACGGTTGCCACATGGCTGTGGCTCGCAGTGTTCTTACATCGCTTGAGTTAAGTGGTCTGACCTTTGCCGCGTTCACCACAGATCTGATCCAGAACACCGTGTGGTATTGAGACAAAAACATAACTCCCGCCTCGCTTCTGCACTGCAGAGTCCCGTCTTCCGCGGCCCGTGCTGGGACTCGTGAGCCTATAGTGGCCCAATGTTGGAAGCCTTAGGTAGCGCCAAGAACATGCAGATAGTTCTGTTAGGTGCTTACGCCGTAGCATTATCACCGGTGCAGGTGATTATGCCGTGTTATCCTCATATCGATGGAGCTAATCGTCTTAGGCACTGCGTACTGAGCCAGCTGGTTAGTCATCTTATGTGGGTCGAACAGAACCACAGGCCGTTAAATTAGCAACAATTCACCCCATTTCAGCACCAAAATACACCTATGTCGCCCGATCGATTGACCCGCAAAAAGTGGGGCTATCCAGCCAATTCACGTGCGCTGTTGACTTAGGCAGCTAACACACAGAGTTCGTGTCACAGCCGGCTCGACTGTACCAAGGTTCACACTTCCGGGCCGTCCAAACTACGTGTACACTTTTCAAAGAAACTCTCTTCATCTTGGCGCGCGCGTTTGAATGTGATTGGACGATTATATTCGATCTTGATAGAAATTGCGAGATTTTCAGTGAGACCAACTGGTACTATAGCGAAACTTACATGGAGAGGTAAACCAAGCCCCTGCATATCCTCATAAATCCAGGAGTGCCTCAGGAGGGTAATTTAGCTAGATTATGGGGTCTGTAGTAGAATTACTTCCAGTTGATTCATATGCCGAGCCTAACCGATAGACAGCTTGTTCCGAGAGTCAATCTTGCAACTCATTGGACCTCTCTGATATGATCGTCTTTTCAAACCCGAAGCAGTCTAGGTTGATCAGTTTAATGTTTATTGTATTCGAATGGCATTGTGAATCTAACGCTGGGGCATCAACGCTGATCCGTATTACCGGGTGCTTGTTAGCCCCTGGGGAGGGCGGCAGCCCCACCCACAGTCCCTTTTTATAATAAGCTTTGTGGATACTTGCACTTGTGTAAACTCCTCTTTACTTGAGGACCCAGTTTGGCGGTACTCATTTTCCTATCGGCTGACTGCTACCGCTTGACTTTGACAAGCCATACCAGCCGGTAATAAGCGCCACTGTTATGTCTTAGGTTTGACACGCGCTACACTGTGTATTCCCAGCAATCGGTAAGACAATGCCGCAATCAAGCACCCGGCATCGGGAGCGGAGCAACCTGTTTATGGGGATTGTGTCAAACATTAGATGGCCTCAATAGCCTCAAACGACCTTACATGCCGCCGAAGTTGGAATACCAGCTGGTTGGTTATAACTACCCTGAGTCACCATTTTCTGTCATGGCTATCGTGAGGGGTAGAAGCAGACCTCTTGGATCAGGCCTTCCAAAATTTCGGTGTAGTATGTTGTCGATTGGTAATCAGTGCAGAATGATGCTCACATAGCGCCACGAATTTGTCCAAGGAATACATGTGACGAGCAATGCTGGAGTGGCTAACTTGATGGAGATGGGTCAGTAGTTAAGCTTACCGAAAAACATATGCCAGTTCGGGCTCCGAAAGACCCGATACCTACGCGAGCACGGCGCCAAAGCCGACGCCTTTCGCGTCCCAGTAGCATGGTGAAACCGTAGTTCGGTTATGTCACGATCAGCCACAGCTAATTAGTGGCAAAAGCTGAGTAGGGAGGTTTTGCTGTAAGCAATTCGTTGTGGTGATAGCGCGCGGCAATCGCGGCAAATGTACAGTAACAAGTTGACACGGGACCTCAGGGGCAACTAACTCGTGGTTTTCTGTCTAGTTCAGCCACATGAACATACTTAGAAAATACGGAAGATGCCGCAGGCTCGTTGTTCGAGTCTCTCATACGAGCCAATGGATGCTTTGGCCATATATGCATTCCCAGTAAAGTCTAATTTTCCTGGGGAGCATCTGCTACTGGAGAATAGAATGCATAATGGCGGTTCTGTCAGCCTGCTTGGATGAAAAAAGACTCTCGTGTAGTATTCCGGTGCTATTCTGTTAAACCCACCAGTTGTAGCAGACTCAGTATCGCAGATTCGGTTCCTGTGTGGAGCATCTGTCTGGCCACTTGATATGGTTTTCGAGCTATGTCAGCATACCTCTCCAGAATTGGAGTTTGAAACATAATGCTGCTGTGAGGGTTGCATATGGTCGACTGCCAGATCAGTGATGCACTGATGATGGCTAGTGACAGACTGGTATGCCCGAGAAAAGTGAGACAGTATTTGACGTCAGTGGAGGCAAATATCGAAGTCATGATGTGAAAATCCCATCTCCAAATTCTCAGCACAAACTGTTAAGGTACAAGAAACAGGTTTTCTTCGTGGTTCTGTGTGGACTCGTGGTGCGATGAGGCGTTGGAAGAAGTCTGAGGGGAAGGATGACGAGTCATTCCTCAGCTCAGGCGCACTAGAACATTTATGGTAAGTGAGGAAGGCTAGCATGAACTGCAAACAGCAGCAGTTATCTCGATACTATGAACGACCTTTGAAGCAGTATTTATCGAAGAGAAAGCCTCAAAGAATAGTCGGGTCATAAAAGCAATACCTCACGACGGCTGGTCTCTGTGTCTCTACTAGGTCATGAGAAGTACACTGCATTGCAAACAGTCCCCACCCTAACGGTAACCAAGCCAAGTTTTCTGATGTCCTCACGTCATTACATGATTACTTTTTTGGCGAACTTGCTGGACGTCATTTCCAGCGATGGCCTGACCCGCTCGCTGGTGCTAGGGCCGTTCACGTCCATGTTTACGAGGGGTTCAGGGGACCAGACTCTACGAATCCCATGGCATATGCAACACCATGATTCTCGAGTTCCATGTACGCTTGATTGGGTTAGATTATTTTGGGTTTAATACTACAGTTCATCTGGCATTTGTGATAGGAAGTTGTTAAAATGATGAATACTGCATCTGCATGGTTGATATAAATATGAACGCGGATCTGTTCTAATAAAAAGGAAAAAGAGGGAATGAAAAGCATGATTATGTTTTGTAACCTACGTCGGGAAAAAAACTAAGTCATGGAAGAGCCATATATGTTGTTAATACATCTTTGCATGGCTACTGGTGGTCGATTCGCTGAGAAATACAGTCTTGAGATACGATACTGGACTCTTCCATTCATGATTGATGTTTCTGAATGACATTATTTTTTTTTAAAAAAAGATTTGCATGATTGATTCGATCTACCGACAGCAGCGTTGTACAATGCGCCTTGCATTCATTACTCTACTTCCAAGAAATTGCCAAATTCATTACCTCCCCATTACACCCGAAAGCTCTCGGAAAAAATCGCCACATAAATCCTAAGCTTTTTTCACAATAAGGATACACACTAAACCACCGGTACCTGGACGCATCATCATACGATATCGTTGCGTAGCAGACGAATGCAAGGTACCCGTGCACTAGGCAGCGCTTCCAAGCGAGCAGGAAGCAATTATGGATACTCGGATATGCCGAGATGCTTTTGTTGTCAACAAAACGCTCAAACATCATGCCATTTTCGCATTCGCAACCATCGAGATGGTAACCGGCAAAACAAAGTAGCCGTTCTCGAACGTGCATAACGGCATACCCGAAATTGTTGCGACCAGAAGTGTTGCGACTTTCCCAGTCTTTGTTTTTCATTTCTTTTCTCTTGAAAAAAAAAGACTGGTAGGTCGGCAGGGCCTGCAGCTCCTCAGCTCGCAACGACGTCTCCGAGGAATTCTAAGCCTCGAGGCCGTTGAGGTGTAAAAGAAGGAAGTTTTTGTCTAGAATAACAAAATAACCGACTGGTGGTTTTCCTACGTTGATCGGAGAGTCATGCCATAGTATCGGTTACGTGGCTGAGGAGTTCGCCCGCGGAGGCCGATGGCGGGCTCGTCTCCATCTCCTTGGGCACGTATGCACCGGTAGCATGGTCGAAGTCTACCAACGCCGTTTTTCACATGACCATCCCCTAAACTCATGTTTGCCACCGCTCTTCACCCCCTCCTTGTTCAGTCACCTCATGTGCACAACACTGAAACCGTCAGCTTCATACAAGATGGTGATGGCAAATTCCGTTGAGGCGAAGGAGTCAATAGGATTTCAACTGCAGCCAATTCTAGATTGCGACCTCGCTTAGAGAGGGCGCAGGTTTCGCTTGCACAGAGGTGTGGGTGGGTGTTTGGTAACGACCACCACGTCCGCAGCACCTATCCGGAAAAAGCCACTTTTCGGCCCAGAAGCAAATCAGGAGCCTGAACTGGGAAATGCAACCAGTGTATCGACTCTTGACTCTGTGCACATCCACCATGTCCCGTGACGAGGGGTGTGGCTGCACTAGTAGCAGCAACAGCTGAGCTCAGCTAGGTCTGGAACGCCAAGAGGTCGGGGGCAATGCATGAGGCTGCTCGTAATAGTACTCTTCGTGCTGGGGGTCTAGAACTTGGAGTTGGATTTTCTGTTCACATGTGTGCGTGCACTGGATCGACGATTAACTTCAAGGTGGTGGCACTTGATCCGACTGGTGGGATTTAGGTCGAGTTTGTTGACATGTACTTTCAGCGATATAACAAAAGATCAATGAACTTCACGCTATTGAGTTTGCAGCGGACATTACTGCTTCAATGATGTATTTTTCGAAGATAACTCTGTGCTGTTGCTGCTGATCAGGCAAAAGCGTCGTTACTATGCATCGGCCAAAACAGGGACGTGTTCAAACCGATGAACCGCATGCATAGTATGTTTGTACCTGCACATGTTTCTTACAGGTTGTTTTTGGCGAACTCGAGGTGCTGGTGCAGGGTGTGTTGCCCTTTGTAAAGCAATTCACAGGACACAATGTATGTTGGATAACTGCCTCTGTCACACCTCAGCGCAGCTGCAGTTTGCCCGCCAATACTAGACGTGTCAGCTACACCGTACTTTGCGATATGCATGCCACCTGTCTCATCCCATCTAGGGTGAGACAGGCCCATTATCCTATTGACCTTATTTATGTATATATTAGCCTCTATAGACAGATAGTGAATGATCATACCTTCAGTTCAACAATGTAAAATTGTACTATGCAGATAGAGAGAGTACCACTAGGTTTCATATGCCGATGGATTTCGGTATGCATTTGGGTTTCGTCAAGATTTACGCTTAATTCTGGAGAACATGGTTTCAAGTAGGAATGCCCTGAGTATCGATCGCATGAGTGTCGATAACGAAATCATCAGAATATATGCCGAATTCTGATGAAGAAATGCTATTGGGCGATGTGTAAGAGTAATAGACTCTCTAAACCGATCAGCAGGGATCATTTTCGCGTTAGTAATCCAAGAGCTCGGACCAGTGACGTTTTCCATCGTCCTCGGTAACCCACCTCACTATCTCTCCAATGTAAAGTGCAATTGACGCTTCTCGACGTACTCTTTCAACACACATTACAATGGCGTCTTCCAGAATTGTCACCCGCTCTTCGCGAGCTCTTGTCTCGCTCCAGCGCACCCAATGTCGTGCTTTCAGCATCGCCCCACTCCGCAATGGCGAGTTTGATGCGCTCAACAAGCGCACAAACGACACCTCGGAAACCTACCGCAAGTACCAGATTGAGAAGCCTCTGAACCCGCACTTGACCAACTCGACCTCGACCATTGCCAACAAGATGCCCTCTGTTGGTAAAGACTCTGCCCCACCTGAGTTGATTACTCAGGTGGACGACAAGTTTGCGCCAAAGGACTCTTCACCCGAAAACACCGAGCGCATGACTGGTGGCACACAGAGTAGCAAGGCTCAAGATGTGAGTGGAACCAACAGCGAGCTGGGTGTCGGCGAGATGGAAGGCGCCAAGTTCAAGGTTGAGCCATTGAAGCGGACGGGCGAGGACGCGAACACGATGCGTGCAAGATTATTATGTCGGTTCCTACGATTCCCCGGCTCGTGCTTTACATGATGCCTGGTCATGTTCAAGGCACCACGATGCATTATTGGAAATGTTGGCTAACATCAAGTAGACCAGAGCCGCAAAAGGGGAACACTAGAGAGCGACCTCCTGCTCAGCACCTTCGCCGATACTCATCTCGCCACCATGTCTCCTTCTCTCATGCAGCAATACGACACTTTCCTTGACGAAAACGATTGGGATATTTACTACTGGGCGACGCAAGAACCTACTCCCACATCGCACGAGACAGCCGAGGGGGGTGGTTCGACCTTGTCTACCTCCAACGCACAGGGCTTGGATGCGGCAACGCAGACCAAGTTGCCAGAAAAGGACGAGCGCAAGAGGGATCCTGGAGAGGGCGAATGGGCGCAGACTGTGGGAACTTTCAAGCCTGCGTACAGACCTGTTCCCACCAGGTGGAAGGGCAGTGAGATTCTAAGTCTACTCAGGAAGCATGTCAATGAAAGGAAGGCAGGCGGCGTGATTGAAGGCGAAGGCCAAAAGCAGCAGGAAGGCAAAGGTTTGGGTATGATGCCTGAAGTCAAGAACTTTGACCAGTAAAGCGGTGCAATTAGTCTTGTTCCGCTGGTAGTATGTATGTACGTCAAGCTGTAGTAGATATGTACACTGAATCCTTCCTTTCGTCTCTTCCTCGTTTTCCCATTTCTTGTCTCCAGTCCAAGAATCTAGATTGATCCAAACACGGCCAAACTGTTCATGACCTTGCCGTCATCACCAAACATCAGATTCCATCCACAGCTGCTACCCAAGCTCGCGTTGTCAATCCACGCAGGCTCCCAGTAGAAAAGACCCGTACCCTTTCCACCCGAAGCGCCAGTCACGCGCTTAGCCACCTCCTTCATCCAGGTCGTCTGTCCATCAACCGAAATAGGAATAGACTTAGTATCCGAGGGAAAGGCGTACTTTGGATTCGGACACCAAGACGGCCAATTAGTCTTTACACTGTAAGTTAGCAAACACACACACACAAAAGGTTTGCAATGTTAGAAAGAAGAAGAAGAAGAAACAAACGTACCTCCACAACCATGACCTCCTTGCCATACTTGCTCGCCATATTACTCAACGACGACCCGATCGCGGCCAGCGTAGCCGCCGAATTATAAAACGGATAATACGACACACCCTGGACATCGAAATCGGACAGCGACAGCCCACCGCCCGAACCAAGCACCAAGTCATACCACCACTGCTGCGTCTCCCAATTCCAGCCGTTATCCAGATGAATCAAGATTTTAGGCTTGGGACTCATGCTCGACTCCTTGATAGCGCGCGAGGCGGATTTGAGCAGGGCAGCGACATTTGCGGCGGGACCCTGTGAACTGCCGGAGAGCTGGCCAATGGGGAAGAGGAGGCCCGGCGTGATTTCGTTGCCGATGGAGACGATTTTTAGGCCAATGCCGTTGCGCTGGAAGGTGTCGAGCACGTTTTTGGTGTAGTTGTAGACTTGTTGGATGAGAGCTTCGCGGTTCAGACTCTGCCATGCGGATGGCGTGACTTGCTTTCCTGGGTCGGCCCATGAGTCGCTGTAGTGTAGGTCGAGGAAGATGCCTAGCCCCGCGGCTTGGGCGCGCTTGCCGAGCTTGAGGTTGTAGTCGAGGTTGTAGGTGCCGCCGGATGGGTTGACCCAAAGGCGCTGGCGGACGGTGTTTACGCCCGAGGATTTGAGAATGGTTTCGAGCGGTTGCACAGTGCCGGCCGAGTTCTTGTATGTTTTGCCGGCCGCTTCTTCGACGAGGAGGGAGGACCAGTCTACGCCTTTGTAGGGGAGCGCCGCGAGTACCGTGTTGCTGGCGCAGAGCAGCGTCGAGATCAGGTGGGTGAGACGCATCGTGGGCGGTCACGTCAGAGTGCGAGAGGCAGAGTGTGAAGGGTGGGTTAGAACAACGCTACTACGCGCAAAGGATGATGCTCAATATATATTCCATTTGCATGAACATCCACTTCTTGAGGTCCTGTAATACATGGCTAACGGACAAACGGTGGACACTGGTGATCCGCCTGCCTTATTTTGATCGCATCACGCTCCAGACCGTTGCAAAGACCGGAAAATAAAGTGTCGTGAACATTACTTCCGCCAATTAAACCTAGGGTTGTGAGACCCCCTGTATAGACGTGCAGTGTTTCGAAACAGATGACATGCTAGGTATCGCGGTGAGAGGGGTAGTAACTCCGAACTCAAGACCCGGGATCATGTCCCGATAGGGCAACGCATGAGACGCGACACATGGGTAAAGAGAACGTGACTAGGAAATGCCATCAACTACAACTTTTCCGAACCGACAACGAAGAAATAAATGTAAAAGAAAAACCATCGGAAAAAAAATGTGATGCGACGAAAAGCCTTCAGTTGGTCAAAGCCATCTTTGATATTTGGGTGGTTTCATTGAGTACATAGCAGTGAAGCAGTAGAGGACTCCTTATTCCCTCCCTACCAAAAACAGCCCAGCCCATTCCGAAAGTGCAAAGGAATTTATGTCAGGGTTCGTAACGGCATCATAACCTTTCGCTAAATGCCTTTTTCGTAACCTCATTGCGCCCGCAGTAAAGCTCAAATCTACTGCTCACCAGAGTAACTCTCACCAGCTGGCTGGGCCTCGCCCTCGCCCTGCTCAGCCTGCCTGGCCTGTTCCGCTGCCTGTTGAGCGGCAATGGCCTTGGCGCCGTAGTCTTGCGACATGGGCTGGACGACGGGCTGCTCCTCCTTGGGCTCGATGATGGTAACGGAGTCGGGAAGAGACTTGGATGGGCCGGCCTTGCCCTCGGGGTCGGAGCCGCGCATAATCTTGACCTTGATACCGAGCACACCCTGGCGGAGCAGGACGTGGCGGGTGGCGTGGTCAATGAAGTCCTTAGCGGGCTGACCGGAGTGGATCATGAAACCGTCCTGCGCTTGTTAGTATGCCAATCCTCAAACGACGACAACAAAGATGCATACAGTGAACTTCATGCTCTTGGCACGGGCGGCCCTGAGCTTTCCGGAGACGACAACCTCGCAACCCTTGGCACCAGACTCCATGATGAACCTCAGCACACCGTAGCAGGCCCTTCGGACAGCCAAACCATTGAGAAGCTTGTATCGGAGGGACTCGCACTGGGCGACGGCGGAGAGACCACGGTTCTGGACCTTGGCGGCGTAGAGGGAGACGGAGTTCTCGGGGAACTTGAAGCGCTTCTGGATGAGCGAGGTGAGCTCACGGATGCGGCGACCCTGCTCTCCAAGAACCTCCTGGGTGTGTGTGGCGCGGATGATGATGTCGGTGACGGTGGGAGTGACGCGGACCTCGACGCCGGAGTAGCCCTCCTCGGCCAGCTCGCGCTGGAAGAACTCGTTCAGCTCGGCGTAGAAAACACCGTCTGTGGGTGTTGAGTTAGCCAACTATTTCTGTGTGCGCACTATTTCAACATCTCGCATCCGACACACTACGGTCCTGGCGGCGAGAACTCAATGTAGCTGTGCCTCTGATTCTCTCCAAACTCTTTCTTCTCTATCCTCTGACTGTGGAAAGGGTAAATCGTACCAGCAACGAACTTTCTCCTCTTGGAGCTGCATGCCGTCAGTAGCCATTCCTAATTGCGCGCTGGGCTGCCGCGGTGGCGAGCGGGGAAACTCACATTGCGGTTTGAGTGGTGGCCATTTTGTCGAACTGTCGATGGGCGTAACTGAACTCCGGGCGTGGGTGTTCAGAAAAGTCGAGCCGTTGTTATCGAAGTCGAGATGCTCGCATACGAAATCGACGTCCTTAGCGAGGTGAGTGCGCGCTAAATAAAGCTCGGACCGCCTCGGTCACCAGCCACAGTGCTGATAAGATAGCCACGATGCGCCCTGCCACACCCAGACAAGCAGAGCTGTGAAGTCACTGCAATTTTGTGGCTAATGTTATGATAGAATATGATTCAATATAATGATAAAACAAAGACATTCTGTAGTTCCTGCCAGTGCGCCCGAAAAACGCCCACTCTCCAAGTTCCGCATGCACAATGCACCTTTACCCGTCTAGTGTACTTTGCATCGCCCAAACTAGTGGTGCTCAATCGGCTCCTCAGGTAGCAGGGGCTCGTGGTGCCTCTCCACACACGCCTTTAGCGGTGGGCGGATCAAGTCGTTGAACAAAAAGGTTCCGTACACCAACAGAGCGAAACCGAGAACCTGCAGCCACTTGAATGTTTCCCAACCAAGTCCTAGCGACACGATCCAGATGAAGAGCGTGCGGCAAGTATCAATCGTCGAGCGCGAAGTAGCAGAGACGGTACGGGTAACAGAGAGACCGAAGAAGTTGAAGCCACTGCACAAAGTTAGTGGATACCGCACCAGAAGAGACGAAATATACATACCCAATGCTGATCATGATCAGTACCGAGGATACGGCGATGGCGCGGTAGTGGAACATCTGGTACAGGCCCTCTCTGGCGTTGAAGTACCCAGTTCCAATAGTCAAGTGCAAGACAACCATGCCAATGAATGTGACCAAGAACCCAAAGACACCTTCCCAACCAACAACCTTGATGGGCTCCATTGAGTACTTCTCCATGATCCTTTCCTCGAGCACAAACTGCGTGGCAGTGAAGATCTGAGCGCCAGCAATAAGCAGCACACCAATGACAGTCATGGCAGCTTGAGAAGCAGCCGCCTTGACCTCTGATCCAGCAACAGAATCGTGAATCGACTTATGGCCAGGCGTCGCTTTGTCATCCTTGGTGATGGCGCCAGCGAGTCCAACGATTGCAACACCCGTCACAACCACGAAGAGCGAGAACCACTTGTACAATCCGAGATGACGCTTGAGGAACCACACGCTGAACAGACCAACAAAGAGCACAAGCGCACCTCTGGTCATCTGGTAGATACTAGCTGCGACAAACAGCAGTCCAACGTTCATGAGCGTAGTTCCGGCAATGTCACAGCACGCTGGAAGCGCCAACAAGAAGATGCTCTTTCCTTGTAGCGGGATCCTACCCTCATCATCGGGATGCGCAGGCTTCAACGGGTTCACAATAGGAGTTGTCTCGCTAACGTCATCTGAAGCCGGGGCAGCCGAGCCAGGAATGGGTTCGTAGCCTGCCTTCGCAGTCGCGTATCGCTGGTAGAGAGTGAACGCGCCGATGACAAGCCAGCAGCCCATCTCTCCAATAAACATCTGCAGCGTCTGGAGGACAGGCTGCTCAAAGTGTTCCTTGTATTTCGGCGAGGGTGAGTCGCAGTTCTTGACGCATTGCATGTCCTGGGTCACAGGCGTCAGCATTCCAGCTCATTGACTCATGCCAAAGGGGGGGGAGTTGTCATACTTGATACTTTGTCAAGAGTGTATTGCATACACCCGTCAACAGCATCATCGCCACGAGAAATGGCACCGCTGCTTTGACCGCCATGATGGAGATGAGCTGGAGCTCCCAGAGCTCACTAACGCTTGTAGAGTACTCGGAAGCGTATCAGACGCAACGTAATCAGCCGTTGCTTGCAAGGAGAGAAGAGCGCTATGCGCAGGAGTGATGGAGGAAGAAGGATGGATAGAGGGAGGGAGTATAGATAGTCTCGGCGACAACAGGGTGCTAGGTAGCTTTAAGCTCCAAGCTGGGACCCGTGATGGTTCGGGGCCGCAAGTGAGGCGCGTGAGGTTGCGCGACGAATGATGTAGGAGCCGCCGCACCAGCCTCGGCGATAAGAGATGGCGCTAACGCTGAGCCCGGCGATCCCCCCAGAACTGATGCTTACTTACAGCTGCTGCATGCGTGGTCGATTTCATCCACGGTCATCCATGTTCTTGTAGCTGTATATCATACAGTCTAATTATGTTCAGCCATTCTATGTTTCCCAACTTGTACTTGCTGAGCCAAGTTGGCGGCGAGGCAGACACAATGATGCGCTAGCCTCCGCACTTGTCTCGTGCTTATTCGGGGAACCGGGGGACGCGTGACCACGTCAGGCACGGTGGCTTCAGGAGCATTTCCGTTGCCTGGCTCAAGCTCGCAATGTACAAGGTTTCTTGTTCGACGTACAGCATTCTTTTTCGCATAGGACTATCTTAATGTACAACAATTTGTCTTTGCGTAACAGTTTCTATGTTCGTTCTAAATAATTCGCAATTGGAACTTTTCCCTTTGAATCCCACAAGTAAGTCTTATAAGAACCATCTGAACTCTGGGTTCTTTGGTCCATCTCTCAATTTCTCTGTCGACACGTCTTTGGCGGTGAGATTGACGCCTTGGCGAGAATTCCTCCTCTTGTTATCAATCATCATGTACGTACCCAACAGCGCGGCACACAAGCAACCTGTGGCCCCAAACGCTGCCGTCGTAGCCAGAGCTGGAATGTACGCTGGCGCATCTTGAGGTCTGAAGATGTTCGAGCTAACAACGCCCATCAAGTTTGCTAGCGGCACACCAACAGAGGTAAGTGTCACACGTCGGTTCTCGTCTGCGACGTTGTTGTTGTACCATGTAGAGAGCAGTACCGAGGGCGCAGATGTTCCCCACGTCATCATGAAGCAGGCATAGTAAGCGACAGTAAGCGAATGCTCGACATCAATGGTGGCATAGATGATGAAGCCGATGAAGGTCAGGAGGAAGCCGAGGGCGATGAAGGGGGACCGAAGACGCGTATAATCCGAGGCAAAGGCCAGGATGAGGAGAACACAGGCACCGACGACGTTTGGTGCGACTGTGTAAAGGTTCGTCTTAATCTTGTCGTAGCCCAATCTACCCACAATCTGCGGCAAGAAGAGTGACACCGATTGCAAGGGTACACCAAGGCAGATTTCGATGATGAGAAATCCATATGTCGACGGTTCCTTGAAAATACCGAGTGCGTCTTTCAGATTGAACGCTTGGTTGACGACGGACGAAGAGTCCATCTGAATACGGGTGAAGGCCAATTCTTTTTCCGCTTCGTTGAGAAACTTGGCTTCGTACGCGTTCTTGGGGAGATACCAGTATGCGAAGAAGGAGAAAAGGACAGTTAGCGAGCCCTCAATAATAAACAGATATCTCCATGAATCTAATTTCGACTCGATTTGAAACACGCCGAAAGCGAGGAGTCCAGAGAACGCATTCGCAATGTTTGAGGCAGCGTAGAAAATAGCAAGGCGTCGTGCGAGTTCGCCACGGCGGTAGAATGTGGTCAGGTAGTAGATTACTAGAGGAAAAAAGGCGCTCTCTGCCATTCCTAATTCACCCAGTCAGTCCATGAATTTGTGAATCCACGTCACGTGACTTACCCAAAAACCATCGCAATGCCATCATGCCACTCCAATTCTGCACACTGGCAGCCAACAACGTCGCACTGCCAAAACAAAACATCATAATAGGCAGCACACGGTGCGGGCCATACTTCTTTCCCAGCATACCAACTGGGGGTGCAAATATTACGTATGGCACGTAAAAGATGCTCAGCATGATATTATACTGATCCCCTTTGAAATGCAAGTCTTTATCCATACCATCCGTTTTGGCATTTCCTAGGTTCCCCTTGTCAAGAGCATTAAACAGGTACATTATGGCTAGCATCGGCAATACTCGGATATCGAACTTCCATGTTAAAGCCTTTTCGTTTTCGTAGGTTGGGAGGTGTTGTGTTGTGCCTTCAACGGGAACTGGTTGTTTGGACGATGAAACCGAAGCAGTAACTTTAAGGCCATCGCCCTTGGCCAACTCCGGATCCTGATTCTCTGACATAATTTTTTTTCCGGACCTGCGCGACTACAATGATGGGGGAGGAGGGGTTGTAGGATGCGCAATTCAAGTTGTCCTCGAGACGAGGGTCCAACAGGTTGTCGGGGGGGGCTGGAAATGAACCGAGAAAGGAAGAAGAAGAAGAAGAAACACCACGAAAACGCGACGAGGGGAAGAAGAATCAAGGCATTTGGGAAAGCAGCAACCTTTTTGTACGACCGATCGGATCACCATCCGTATCATCCAATCCAGCCTGCTAGTCAGTCAATCGTACAACCTTTCTTGCCGTGGAGTTACATTAACACGCCTGCCCTGGTGTAGTATCCGCTAGGCTGAATCCCTGTGCAGCCACATGTTCGCCGCGACGTAACCCTTTCTAGGTTTTGACCAATACCGCTTATGTTACCCTCGTGGCACGCCTGCTGTGAGTGGTTCGGGGGAGCTGCTGCACCGTTCAACGCGGGATCGGTGTGTAGGGATCAGAAGGGGTTTGGGGTTGGATCAAGTGCGGAGCGGAGATAAAGGGTTAGCAGATGATAAGAAACGGGCCGCTTTGGGATGCGATTTCGGAGAGAAGGGCTTGCGATTCCAACCATAGGGTCGCTTGTTAGTTTGTGTGGTCGTAGGTGCAAGCTAAAATATGCGCACCAAGTGATTTTTTCCCAATTGTTTTGGAATTTGCCGTTAGTAGGTATGTAAGGCTGAAGAGATTCATGGTTGTGGGCATGGTTGGAGTGGAGGTGGGGTAGGTGGTATGGGCTCCACTGATACTACCTTTCTCCGCATCACGGACGTGGACCAAGAATTGGAGAAAGCGCTGCAGTTCTGTCTCGAACAACAACAAATGAAAAATATATCCTATTGCTATGTCGGATATCGACTGCGACATTTCCCTCATTAACTTTTCTATACTTGTATTGAACAGTCCTGCTCACAATGTATGTGACAAAATGGGCCAATCGATTTGCTGCACTAATATCTCGGCGCACAAAGAAGACGCCACACAGATACATGACAAGAAACATGTATTCAAATCATATACAGTCATTTCTGGCAAATCTCCAGAGCGGTAAACTCTCTCCATCTTATCTTGGGGCTGTTTAATGGGCGGGGCCCCGTTATCAGCGCGCCGTGCCTCGGCTGCACAAGAAAGCGTGCGATAGCAGCTATCAATCCAGGGTATTTGTTATCATGCTTTGGTCACTACACACAGCAATTCCTTTCAATCTTTTGCTCCACAGCAGCACGACAAATTCCCGGACAGAGCGAAACTTTAGATTGCAGGTTGCAAATGCGGAGACACGGCTAATGCCTCCTTATCAAAAAGTCGAAAGCTGCCAAGATATAGGAAAGGACTCTGCCAAGGGAGACAAGACGGCACTGGGTCGTGTGGTACACAAGTAGAATTGCATTTTTTGTGGTATTGCCTGCTGGCACTAGGCTTACCTAAAAGCAAACAAAAAGGACACGCTTGTTGTCTTCCAGACCGTCTATAGTTGAGAACAGAACAGAAAAGAAAGACAATCCATAATGCCCGACCAATGGTGACTAAAAGTACGTGTGGTATCCAGTAATCTCCAGACAATGACAAAACTGCGCTTGAGTAAAACAAAAACAAAAGCTCATACTATACAACGCCAATGGGTATCCTTGAAGAGCGAGGCTTTTACTCGTAAACGCCTCTACCAAATGAACATAGGAAAACATGTCTGTGTCAGTTCCGAGAAAACCAAACGTTGTTATTTTTCTCATGGGTTATGAGCTACTTCTTTGCCCTTTGATGAGCGGGGATGTAAAAAGTGAAGACCGCCCTTGGCAACGCCAGCGACATTGAAGTGCAGCGGTTCCTTGGGGCCCTTCTCCCTTACAGGCATCTTTCGCTTTGAGCGACCCGAGACATACATGGGCTGCTGTGCATGGGTGCCAGTACTGACATGAGGCATACTTTGCTTCATTCGCAGCTTTGGCTTCTTGTCGCGGTGCTCATCATCAGTAGTCTCGTTGTCAAAGCTGCGAAGGCTACTCCGCTCAGATGAAAAGCGAGGGGTAGCGGTGGAGTGATTCGACGACCGTGTTGGCGTACGCTGAATGGGGCTCAAAGGAGTCGGCCTGGATGAGCGAGTCGATGATGCCGTTTGAATACGCTCAATAGGACTCAGCATAGCAGCCGAGTTAGCAAGGACGTCCAGTCCCGAAGGCGCCCTAGTCGCCATGGCGTGAGTTCGAGATGAATAGGTAGGAGGAGGATCCTGGTAATCGTACATAATCTCTGAGTCCAAGCTCTTATATTTGGCAGTGCCGTCGAGCTCCTCATCATGTTCCCAGCAAGTGTCGTCGGCACCAGTGACAGGAGGGAGGAAACGTATCTCGTTCCAGGTTACGTCCTCGTACTGAAGAGTGATGTAGAGGACATCTCCTTGCATCTTGTCATGAGCGATGCAGTGATCTTCCAGGAATGGGAAATCCCATACTGTGCGGTGCACAAGATCAGGAGGCAAAAGCGTAAGGGCCATGCGGCTAAAGGGTTCATCAGCGGGCCGGTGACCAGTCATTGGCATCCACGGTCTTCCTCGGAAGACGCCCTTGAAGGCAGTCTCAATGTGATTTGCGAAACAGAAGCTGTCCTGGCTGGGAAATTCAATATTTTGGTGCAGCTTGCGCGATGCACACCGTCGATACGCATTGCTGTCGGGGTCAAAGGCGAACCTTTGCGACTTGCGAGGCACAAAGATGACGCGGGCGCTCCACGAAAGGGGATACTTTTTGTCGTTGCGAATGGGAAGTTGGCCAAGAGCATGGTTTGCTTGCATCAAAGCTGGTAGCGGTGGCACTGGCGGTGCCTGTGGAGTTGGGCGACGTGCTTTGGGTGTTGCAGGAGCAGGTGTTTGGCCCCTGGATATGTCGCCAAACTGCTCGATGCGATCGACTCTGTTTTCCAACTCCATGCTAAACTCGTCAACCATGGTCAAGCGCTCGCCCTGCGACTTGATCTGGTCGCTGAGCTCCGTGGTTCTATCCACGACGGCCTCGACGCGATCGTCGATGGACAGCTTCAAGAGCTGCATGTTTTGGTATATACGAGCCTGGACGGCATTGTTGGTCCTGATGAGTTCTTCGCGAGCCATTCTCTCGCGGAACAGTTCTTGTTTGAGGTCGTGCTCCAACGATTCGAAGCGCCTGATTTCACGCTGCAGTTGCTTCATCTGGTCTACTGCGTGCATGTATGCGTCCATTGAGACGGCTGAAGCGGGCTCAGCCTCATGGATCCAGGCTTGGTGTCCGCAGCCGCAGAGCGAGCGTACCGTGGAGTCGGGATAGAAGCAGCGACAGGAGCAGCGCTGGCGGGCGCCATTGTCGGCCGGAGACGAGAGGATGAAGGTACATTCTCCGCGTGGCAGCTGTGCGTCTTGGGGCGGCGCCGGCTTTCCAGGCAGGTGGGTGGGAGGTTGCGGATTGTCAAGGAACATGGGGAGTCGACCTGGGTCGGTGGTGGTGATAGCGTGGTTGGTGGGAAAGCACCCGGCGGCTCATCGAAGGCCGGCAAGAGGGATGGAGAGCAGGAGAGTGGGCAGGAGGGGAGTGGGCAGGAGGGAAATGAGCGTGGTGTGGCTAGATGGGGGGCAGTTGAGTTAGCTGGGGGTGGCCAGGCTCGACTAACGTATATGTATATGTATGGATAGGATAGGCACAGGCAAGAGGGCAGGGCAGCCTGGGCGGCTGGAAGCACAAGATAAGCAATCGTCGACCACTACTTACTCACCCTCAGAGCCGGGCAGACGGGGCGCACGGGAGCATCCGAGTGGGCAGAGACACAATCAAAGGGACGTGTGCGCCCGTGGGTGGACGAGGAACGGCGGGCGATTGGGTGCGGCAAGTAGAGTGGTATGGATGTATGGATGGATGTGTGTAGGGAGTAATGGCAGGGAGGGCGGGCTACGAAAAGAGTAGAGCACTCGTCCGTGGGAGGAGGCGTTAGCAGCATGTGCAGGCGTGGGCCATGGCGGGTGTGCAGGTACTCTTTTCTTTTGGACCCGAACTAGCTCCCGCGCCGGGGATGCGCAGGCCTGTCATGGCAATGATGGCTGGGGGGGGGATGGTGGGTAGTGGGTGGGTGGAAAGCTGGAGGGTTGCATGTGTGAGGGAGAGGGAGGGTGTGTGAGAGCTCGGCGGGAGGAAGAGATAAGGATAGCGGCTGGTGGGCAGGCGCGAGCCAATGGCAGGCGGCGAGGGCGAGTGGCGGGACGTTGTGGGCTCCGCCGCTGGCTTATCGCGACATGCACACACACAGACACGACGCCGCGGGCCCCCACGCTGCCAGCCGCTGGGCGGGCGCTGATTGGGCCGCCCACATGGCGCCATCAACGCAGAAGATTCCATGCTGCTGGCTGCTGCTGGCTGCGCAGTCTGTGTACATACTTAATAAGTAATGCGCCTCCGCCGCCGGCCATGGAGCGGTGACGCTGCTGCATCTTGCCTCTGCCCGCCTGCCCGCTCTCGCCCCAGTGCTGGGCTCGACGCTGACCCCCCGGCGCCACACAGCCGCGGCCCCTTGCTTGGATGACACGCGGCGGCCGCAATTACTTGCCCTGTTATGTACATGCTCCGTACACGTCTGCCCGTCTTGCCTGCCTGCCTTCTTGCTTGCGTAGATGCTGGCTTGCCTGCCTCCTTACGTATTACGTACACATGGCGCCCTCATCGCCGCGCCCCTGCTGACTCATCCGGCGCCAAGACCGTCTCCAGCCGACTGCGCTCGGCAAAACGTGGACGGGCAGCGTCGATTCCATTCGTCGCTGGCCCAGTGGTGGAACCCATCAGGTAAAAGAAACGTTCTCTGCCCGCACCTCCGCGCCGTGACTGTACTGGATTTGTGCGCCCTCCGACTGTTTCGTCATCTGCAGCCCGCCCGCCGCCCTGCCATTCGCGCAACAAACGCTCATCCCACAAACCCGCCATATTCACATCCTTTCTCCCTGCATCCCCTCGCTTCTGGCCAGGTGCATTCACGTCCCATGGGCTCCTCCTGCCAAACACGGCTAGCCCACGGGAGCACCCGTCCACAGTGGGGACGCTGTGCAGTGCAAATGTGTGCGCATCCATCTCCTCTCGAAACGGAAACACGGTGGGTTCATGTCAAAACCAGCTTCCTGCCCTTTGCTGTTCTTCTGCACATTGTCCCCTCTTGTGTGTGTGTGTGTGTACACGCCAACTCACCCGCATGCACATGATGCCGCTACCACAACCACGCCGTGCCTGGATGCATCCACTACTTTCCTTTACTTTCCCACTGATATGCTTTCTTTTGCAACCAACCACAGCACCGCACCACCTCGCAATGCCAACGCCCAATCCTGCGCTTTTTCCTGTCTGCTTTGGGCAACGATGCACCGCCTGACGTGTGTGCTTATAGGAGAAATTGCAAGGCCCATACAAAAGACGCTTTCCTGACACATGGCCATGGCACTAGCCCCAAAACCATCGGATGAGGCCATGATAAAGTTTGAGCTTGCTGACGAGGCCACGCCCAAATGGTGAAGCAGTAAGGGCCGTGCCTGCCACTCGGTCCTCGGAGCGGCTGCTCTCCGGCCAATTTGCCAAGACCACCGAGTTCAAACACTCTGCGCGCCCCGAGTAGTCACGGAGGCTGGACTCTTCACAGAATTTACATACGTCGAGACGCAGCTTACTTAATGCCGGAAGAAAACTGGGTTGCTCACGGGGGTGTTCCCGCATGCGATTTGTGCCATTCCCGAAAGGTACCTTTTCCTCTCTCCACAGCCCCCTTGCCGACCGTCTCGGAACGTGTCTATATCCTGCGTCCGACACTAACTGCTACCAGGTCAAATGCGACCGCAAAGAGCCATGTGCAAACTGTGTAGCGGCCAAGGCCGAGTGCTTGCGCAACAGGCACAAGCGTGTTCCCCGGCCCAAGGTCCGAACGTAAGTACTACCCCACGCTCATTGTAGTAGTGTATACCGCGTCTAGCAAGCGCAGCAGTGGCAAACCCAAGCTTTGCGTTTGCCCCACTGTGGAGACTTTTGTCAAGTCCTCATGCTCACGTCTAACAATTGTACAGCGATGAAAAAATACAAGCGCTTGTACAGAGACTCTCCTCTCTGGAACACTCTCTGCATGGTGCTCACCGCAGTCCTCCCAACCCATCCCAGGAGCCTGATATCACAAACGCCTCTATCAGGCCAAGCACTGAGAAAACACCCGATCGACCAACAAAAAGGAAACGTACAGCTAGCTCTCAAGAAGTATCAATACCCCCAACAACGCCAGAAGTTGACGCGACTTCGCAAACAGCAAACGAAGCTCGTCTGCACATCACCAAAGAGCTATCTACCAATGGATTACTATCAGGACACCAACGCTCGGTCCTTGAGACTGCCATGTCCTTTGTTGATCAATTGTCACATGCACCTGCACAAAACTTGACAGACCGCAGTACTTTTGACAAGTCCATGCACATTTCCACAGACCTTTCCCAGCGCGAAATTGTCAATGTCATTCTTGGGAGTATGGTCACCTGCCCTGCCGTTTGCTATCAGGCTGACAGCCACTTTAGGTGAATTCAAGGCACGGAGTGAAGCCGCCGTTCGCCATCATACCATCGCCCACATACCAATCAAGGCCATTGAGAGAATCGCTCTTGCTCTAATGGCAGGCACTGCCGATGACAAGACCTTGAATCTCTACAAGGTTATCATTCATTTCCAAGCCGCTGCCGTCATGTACGCCAGCCAGTTGCAAGCTCCCAAAAGCGCTGCAGTGCAAAAACAAATCCAACAAATGCAGTTCGATCACATAATAGCCGCACTTACCGCCTTGGACAACATAAGCTTCATGACCTCACCCTCGCTCCTTCTAGTGCAGGTTTTGGTGACAGGAGTAAGTCATCTGACCTTGTCCACATGATTCTGTAGCTCATCATACACAGGCCATCATGATGCAAATCATAGGCAACCCAGTACAGTGCTGGGAACTCACAGCTCACGCATCACAAACGATTGTAACACTCGGATACCATAATATTGAAAAGACGGTGCCAGAGACTGACGAGGAGCGTGAGATTTACGCTGTAGTTGCCCAATGTGCAGAGCTCGACAGTGGCATGAGTCTGTTGCTTCTTCGGCCGAGGTCACTTCCCAAATTTCAAATCAAAATTCACGACCAACTACGAGCCGACCCTTCAAACCCCATGAGTGTTCTAGAGTTGATCTCTGTGCAAGACAAGATTCTAGACTTGTCCCTCCCTCAACGCACCAAACGATCGCCTGGTGCTCTGAAAGAAGAGGTAGCCCAGTTGAGAGCTCAGATGAAAGACATTTATATTCTTATGGAGAAGGTAACCTACCCCGCCCGTAATTACGATCGGTCCGATAATACTAAATACTGCGTAGGAGCGTCAACTGCACCTCTTAGATAGTAGGACTGATGCTTTTATCCACTACAAAAGCATGGAGTTCAAGTACTTCTCCCTCTTGACATCTATTCACAGGCTGAGCCCCACTGTCACGACGAACTATCTGGAGCGAGAAGAGTGTCTTCAGAGCGCACGGAAGGCGCTCGAATGTGTCAAGATGATCGAACAGCTCGCAAGGACCTTGGATCATTTCATCGAAGGCTATGACCCGTATCTATCATGGTAAGATGCAGTATCTGGAATTATACATGGCTTGCTAACATTTCATAGGACTTTGTTGTCACATCCTCTGTGTCCGTTCTTTGTCGTCTTCTGTAACGTGGTTGGAACCTCTGATCCTCGTGACTTTCAGCTTCTCGAGGATGTCATTGATTGCATCTCGTCGCTCGTTACAGAAAACAAATACGTCAACCGTTTGCATCGACTCTGCGCAACACTTCTCGGTCTTTGCAAGCCCCTGGTAGAGAGCCCAAGCGCACAACACCAATGGCAACAACCAACCTCGGATCCCACCACATCTTTGGCGTCATATCCTACCTCATTGCCTTTCAATCATGGCCCTGATATATTGTCGAGCAGCGATGGCGATACAAACAATGGAATGATCAATTCTTCCTGGAACGATAACATGATGTGGCAGTTGTTTCAGTCGCAGCCATCGCTGGACTGGTTTAACGCTGATATCCTTGACCCCGCTTGGGATATTGGCCAACCGAGTTGAGTAAAGGAAGCAGAGGGTGGGTTGCTACTTTGAATTTTGGCGTCTTTTTCCAGCGTATAGATCGGTATGGGGCGGGATAGTCTTGCAAGTATGATGGGGTTAGACCTTGATGCTTGGGGTGAAAATGTTTCATTCTTCATGGTACATATCATCTTCCACATTTTCTCAGCACGTGCAAGAAGCAGTGTATTTTTTTGTATCGTGACTTTGGACTACAAGGGTTATGACAATTCAGATGTAAAATGCGATACCAACTTGTTCAAATCTAAGTAGAGTTCACCCGAAGCAAGTATCCATTGTGGATATTTTGACTCCGTACATTGCAGCTACTCCGTGGCTCTCTACAATTGCAAGAGACCAGTTACATGATCTGCAAAAAGCCTCGTTTCCTTCTCCGAGGAACATCCCTTCCACAAAAGTCATGTAGTGTAAGCCTCACTGCCCCGCTTTAGGGCGGCACTCCGGCCGCCCCACCCTCCAATGCTTATGTGTACGTACTACGTACCTACCCTCCCGCACAGTCCCGAAATTCGGTCAGCTCGAACCTTAAAAAAGAAAGTTGTGACGTAACAAGAAGACTTGCAAAAGCCAACCGCGTTTGTACCTCTTACATCCATTTTTTATCTTTGCTCTTACAAAAATAAAACTCTGTGGTCTATTTTTTTTTTCTTTGTCAATAGAAGGGATCCTGAAAGCAAGACTAAAACATATAGAATCAAAATGGCTACTACAACTACCACCTCGACACCCGTACCCCGCGACCCCACCGCCGACGAAGCCCTCGCCTTGTTCAAAGCGATTGAAGAAAAGTTTCCGGCTAAAACGCTTGGAGAGGATAAGTGGTATCTTCTCGCTGTAAGTCTCATCCGTACTTACTCAACCTTTTTTCCACACAATACCATACCATACCATATCCTCTTCCCCTTCCACAAACAGTACCCTTATATCTGCCCTCCTTCCCCCCCTCTCCCCCCAACAAAACAAACTCAACAACAACATCTATCAAACATCCGTGTGTGTTTTTTTTTATTAAAAAAAAAGTAATAATATGTAGCTCGCAAATATAGTCAGCGGCGGCCAACCCAACTTCGCTCCTTTACTGTATAAACACGTAATTGTGCGACCTGAGTTCCAGAGTGCGGAGGAGAGACAGAAGCTGCTGCGGCGCATGCGCGAGGTACTGTTTAAACTCGTGATTATCGTCGGTGTGTGTAAGCCGCTTGAAGCGGTATTTGATCTCGATGCTGCTGTGGAGAGGGACGAGGACAGGGTTTTGACTGGTACGCGGTAAGTAGTGGCCCTCTCTTTTTCTTTTCATCTTTTCCGTCTTGTTTTCTTTTTTTTTTGTTGTTGTCTTTCCACGGTGCTACATGCAAAGGGTTTAAGAAAGTTTTGGGCCGATGAAGATGTGTTGTTGTTAATGAATGATTGAGCTACATAGGCAAGACTGGCAATGCGACGAAGCGAATTTGCAGCGCGGCGAAGCGTGGTTGAGCCGGCTGTACAAGCACAATCTCCAGGGTGTGATTAATAATACGTTTGAGGGTAACAAGGACTTTGGTAAGATATCCCCCCCCCCATTTGCTCAAGAAGAAAGAGGAGAAGAATGGAAAAATGCTGATATAAAGGCACCAAGATTGGCTTACGAAAAACATCACCTACGGCCTCTTTCTGTCTGATCGCAATGTCTTGAACGATGTTGAGACGGAGATGACGGTTGTAACGGGAATTGTCATGCAGAATCTCCCCCGCGAATCGGCGTGGCATATGCGGGGATTGCGGCGGATTGGAGTGGCGAAGGAGGATGTTGAGGCTATTCGGGAGTGTGTATGTTTGAAGTTTTCTTTCTCCTTGTTTTCCTTCTACTCCGTTCGAAAGACTACCTACAGGATGTTTCTTGGGGCTGGTGTTATTTGAGACAGTGATTGAGCTAACGACTCGACATAGTGTGAGCTTTCGGCGAAATTTTGTGGCATTAGTTTGCACAAGGTGCCAAGAGTGGAGGATATTGAGCATGAGGTGTAGAAGGATGGTTTCTTAGGCTTTTCAAGTACCTCCCATCAACCTTTTCCAAACTCTTCTTGGGAGGAATTAAGAGCGTGGGATGGGGTTGTAGTATACGGTCTTCGTATGCCATTCCCTGTATGTATGAATCCCAGCGTGGTACCTATAGTGCTCCTTATATAGTGCAGCTTTCTCTCATGTGTCGCACAAGGTTGTTGGTAGTCCCTTTTGAGGTTGTTTCAAATATCCGCGTTCGATTGGGGATACTGACGTGGTTCCAATTTTATAGGAGTGGAGGCAAAGGCAGAGGTGACGACCGTGCTGATGGCACCGGAGATGGCGGAGGTGGAAGAGTTGGTGGTGGTGGCGGAGGAGACGGCGGAAGAAATGGCGGAAATGATGGTGATGTAGTAGGCCGAGGAGGAGGAGGTGGTGGTGGTAGAAGAGAAGCAAGCCGGGAGAGCGATGCATAAAATGGTCGTTCGACTAGTCGAGCGTGATTGCACGAAGTGCGCCGTTGCTGCGAGAGCTTGATCAAATCCATGATTCGACCGTCAAGAGATGCGAAATTCAGAGAGAATGTTTGTATGGAGTGCTTCGTGTTTCATCGCATGCGTGATATTTAGGTCTTCTTTTACAATCCTGGATGTCACATAGGTATGCTGCTATTGGTTGCTTGCAATATCTACCCATAGTTCTGAAAGTGGGGTTGGTTGTGACTAGGGCCGCTGGAAACACCTTGACTAGTTGCTACTAGCATGAAATGGGATTGATTTGATTGATAGCAAGTTGGTCTATTCTGGTTGTATGCAAGAAGACAAACGTGCGTGTAGATAAATCAAATCTTCAGTGCTATCTTCCCTGGTTGATAATTGGCGAACCGAATTCTCATACTGCTACAACAAATGTAAGTAAGAGTACCTTCGCCTTAAATAAGCAGCAGCTCCTTCCCTTCTCTTACCCTTCCATTTTTGCCTGGGCGCATGTCTCACCTGCAGCGCTAGCATTCAGGCTGAAGGTCTCTCACCAGCTTCTTCACGCTCTACATTGTCAACTTGCATAAACTTCTACGAAGGCTTCAACTGTCAGTGAGTTGCACCCAGTACATATGCCCAAAGGCCTCTGTCATTACTAACGAAAGCTTCAAGACAGCTGAGTCGGTACCAAACACACAATGGCAATGCTTCGTGACTCTTCCACGGGAGAGGGGCCTCCTGCAGCTAATGGAGCACCAACCACTTTCCATGGCTGGCCCCGGCTTCCTGATGAGCTCAAGCTTGAGGTTTTATCCCATTTACTCACCTTCACTGAAGGCATTTATATTTACCGGGGGACTCCTTCTTACGATTCCAGTATGGAAGAGTCACACCAAAAGCGCCTGAATGATCACCTCTTTCCTCTGATCGCAACCAGAAACAGTAACTTGGCCCTTCTTGCTCAAGAAGCCTACTACAAACACAACGTCTTCATAGTATACTTTTGGTTGCATTTCGATAACATAACCTACTGGCCAAAGGCTTCTTGTGCCAGAAAGATCCGGCACATGACGCTATGTCTGGGATTATACGCTGGTTCTACTATGGAAGAGCTTTTGGTTGATTGTGAGGGAGCAAGGCTGTTCCGACCTACTAGAGACCTCCGTACCGATGCCATTACCTGTCCCAAGGAAAAGGCTGAGGCCACAAGAATTGCCAAAGCTATACAAGACCATCAGACAACACATCCACATCTCAACAATCTACAAACTCTTTTCATTGACGCGTTCATAATATGTCGCGATTTTCCTCATGCGGAAAGTGGGCCGAAATGTGAATGCTGCTCTTGTCTGCAACAATCCGTATCTTTGGAGAATTTGATAAGTGGACTCGAGCTTGTGCTGCAGGCTAAAAAAGTGGTCGCAAAGACGGAAACTGAGTGTAGATTTGCTACGACAAATTGCGATGAACACAATCGTATCATTATCAACGGCCTCGCCGAGAGAGCAACAAAAAAATAGGCGGCCATGCCGCGAACGTCAGATAACAAAACGAAATCATAGTAATTGAAGCCACCGGCAGAGAACGAGAAGGGAAGTAAACTTTGTGCGACGGCGTCACACAATAATATGTTTCCTGTGGTACAACACTGAAGAAAGAGAAAATCATGATCCACTTCTCAGGAAGAAATATTCAGCGGAAATAAGAAGGAAATTATGTGGCGGAACGAAGAATGTGCACGAGCAAAGAGTACACCACCGTAGCAGAGAGGACCAAAGAGTGAACTCACATCTCATGTACAAAGTCATCAAGAACTGCCCTTTCGCAAGGGGCTCATCTAGCTCGACTTGACCTTGCCTTACCTTCTAGCCCCCC